AAAAAAAATTGATTTATATGAAAGTTAATTAATTTATATTTATAATATTCATTTACATATCGCCAGAATTTTAAAATGTAATACACACTTTATCTAATTTAAATTTTTGATTATCATATACATATATAATATATAGATTTTTGTTTTGTTTTGTGCATGTGCACAGGATTAAATACTAGTGTAAAAGTAATGTACATGTATAATACATATATATAATTTCTGAATGTGATGAGTTTAAGTGGCATGCTTGCACGTATTTGAATCTCATGTGACAAATGTTTGGGTTAGATGAATTTTAATTTATTTTCAGTCCAAAATTAATTAAGCTTGGAATATTCATAAATATATTAGATATTTATGGTCCATTTTAAGAGCAATAATTATTTTTTAATATGTAGACATGATTTGTAAGGTATAAAACTTTTCCAATCTTTCTTTTAAAGTTATAAGAAATTTAATAACTAAAATTATAAATATATTTAAAAGTTAATAAATTTTCTATTTAGTAAATTTCTATATATAATATATCAAATTAATCATGTTCTGATTATCTTCGTCTATATTAGACATACAAAATAAATAAATAACTTTTCGATCTTTATAATCAAATTTAAATTACCAATTAATATTTATTTAAAAAAAATATTTAAACGAACTTAACTACAAAGTATTATCTGATATAATTTTTATTTTTTTAATATTTGATGAAAAATCGTGTAAGTGACTATGCCATTTTAAATATAAATAATACTATATTTTTTTTAAAAAAAAGTATTCAAAAACTAAAATAATTTTTGTTGTTATTATTATTAATTTTAAGTATAATTTTTTTAGAAAATACCGTGTAGTACACGTGTATTGTACTAGTTTATACAATATATATATACACACAAAAAATATGCACAACTATATTTCATTCTATATTTCATTACTACTCCAAGGAGAAAGAAAAAGTCTAAGGGCAAAACAGTAATCAGAGAAACTAACCACCACAGCTTTGACCAAATGAATTAAATTTACATTAACCAATAAAACAGTCTGTTTAAAGTTCAAACAAAAGCCAAATATCACACAAACTCTCACAAACCATCTTTTCATTTTAGCTTTTTTTAAAAAATAAAAACCCTCTATGAGGAGTACCGTCGTCTCCCCTTCTGCAGAGCTCAAACAATGACCAAACCTCGCCGCCACAACCACCGCCGCCTCCTCCTATTATACCTCTCCCTAGCTCTGATCGCAGCCGTCGTGAAACTCGCCGCCTCCGTTGATTTCGTCTTCAACGGCTTCGGCCACTCCGATGTCTCCCTCTACGGCAACGCTACCCTCGACTCCCGCATTCTCACCCTCACCACCGACCACACTTTCTCCATCGGCCGCGCCCTCTACCCCGCCAGAGTCCCCGCCCGGCACTTCAATTCCTCCGCCGCACTCCCCTTCTCGACCTCATTCATCTTCGCCATGGCGCCGTACAGGGGCCGCCTCCCGGGCCACGGCATCGTCTTCCTCTTCACGCCGCGCGTGGGGATACAGGGCGCCAGCTCCGCCCAACATTTGGGGCTTTTTAATTTCACCAACAATGGAAGCCCTAGCAATCGCGTCTTCGGGGTCGAGTTCGACGTTTTCGCGAACGAGGAGTTCGGCGATATTAACGCTAACCATGTCGGGATCGATGTGAACTCGCTGGTCTCGGTCAACGCATCCGGAGCCGGATACTGGCCGGACGGCGGCCGCCTTCCGTTCAGGGAGTTGGCTCTGAACAACGGGAGGAATTATCAAGTGTGGATTGATTACGCCGATGGTACTGTGAATGTGACCATGGCGCCGGCGGGGACAAATAAACCTAATCGGCCTTTGCTCAGTTTTCCTCTCAATCTTTCCGATATTTTTGAAGATGAAATGTATGTGGGGTTTACTGCCGCCACTGGGGCTTTGATTGAGAGTCACAAGATTCTAGCATGGAGCTTTAGCAACACAAATTTCTCCCTTAGCGAGAGTCTAATCACTAGGGGCTTGCCGAATTTCGAGCTCCCAAAGACTCCAGTCCGCAAAACTAGCGGTTTCATTGCAGGTTTGATATTGGGGGTTTTGTTTTTCATCATTGTTTGTAGCATTATAGCTGTCTTACTGATCAGAAAGAACAGAAGAATACGAAAAAAGAGGGCAGAAATCGAGGATTGGGAGCTCGAATACTGGCCCCACCGAATCACATACCAAGAAATAGAGTCGGCCACTAAGAACTTCTCCGAACAAAACGTGATTGGTATTGGTGGGAATGGAAAAGTGTACAGAGGGACATTACCCGGAGGCTCAGAGGTTGCTGTGAAATGCATTTCTCACGAAAATAGTGAAGGCATAAGAGCATTCTTAGCTGAAATATCGAGCCTCGGGAGATTAAAGCACCGTAATTTAGTCGGGCTGAGAGGCTGGTGCAAAAAGGAAAAGGGCAGCCTCATTTTAGTCTACGACTACATGGAAAACGGGAGTCTCGACAAGAGGATTTTCAAATCATATGAGGAAACAAAGTTGTTGAGTTTCGATGACCGAATTAGAATCCTTAAGCAAGTGGCTGCGGGAATTTTGTATTTGCACTACGGGTGGGAGTCGAAGGTTCTCCATAGAGACATCAAGGCTAGTAATGTGCTTTTGGATAAGGATATGAATGCAAGGCTTGGGGATTTCGGGCTTGCCCGTATGCACGACCACGATAAGGTAGCTGGGACTACACGTGTGGTGGGTACAGTCGGGTATTTGGCCCCAGAGGTCGTGAGGAACGGGCGGGCCTCGACCCAAACTGACGTTTTTGGATATGGGGTCTTGATTTTGGAAGTCATTTGCGGAAGGAGGCCTATTCAGGAAGGTGGGCCCCCGTTGTTGGATTGGGCTTGGGATCTTTTTGCAAAAGGGGAGCTGGTTAGTGGGGTTGACCCAAGGTTGAGGGGTGAAGGAGGGCTGGATGAAGTGGAAGTGGAGAAGATTCTGCATTTGGGCCTGTTGTGCGCGCACCCGGATCCCAAGGCCCGGCCCACGATGAGACAGGTGGTGAAGCTGCTTGAAGGGAGTAGTGAGGTGGATGAGGAGAGGGATGGGGACGATGACATGGATTTGTATTTGCTGGAAAAGATGAAGAGTAGGGAGATTCGGTCCGTGTACCCTCGGATTTATGGCAGTGATTCGAGTTCGCACCCGACGTTTGATGAGATCAGACGAGGGTTGTCGAATTCGATGTCGTTGTCTTGGACTGATACGATTGTGGACGGTAGATGAAGGTTCCCAAAAAAAAAGAAAAAAAAGGTGATGCTCGTTTGCAGAATGATATATACATACTTATTTTGTTGATATTTTCAGTCTTACGACAAAAACAGTAATAGATCGGTTGTAAAAGTTTTTGCTGCGTGCAATTTTTGTTCTTATGTTGTTTGAATTGTAGGTGTTGGGTTTTTTTTTGATGTACAGACATATATATGATGTTGCAGTTGATATTTGGTTGGGCAATTCGTTGTACATAACCATTTTCCCTGAAACTAAAATTACATCTTTTAGGTAATGATGTGCTTATTTGTTGGGGGCATGTGCATCACATTTGAAATAGCTTGAAAGTTTTACTTAACATGACTATAGAGTATTGGAATAATATTATTGAGAAATTTACTCCTCTTAGCAGTCCATTCAATCTTATTTTTAAAAACATAGAATTATTATTAATGAATATCACTACCTTTTAAATACATGGTTACTGTATTAAATATGGCTTAAGGTTAGTTACCAAGTATATTCTTTTATTCAGTTTCCTAAAGCTGATAAATATCCGTTACCAAATTTCACAGTTATCGTGTATATTCTTCTTTACCATAAATTCTCCCACACCTCTATGCAAATTTCCATCTTCTCTAAATCTCCAATTTTCACCATTGATGTTGCCAGGTATCTCTCTATTGACCCATGCCGCATATGTTGCCAGGTATCTCTCTACTGCTAAAAAGAAAAATAAATATCGCCATTTTTGTTTCTCTCTGCTACATCAAAACAGATCTAGAAGAAAAAAAAAAAACTAACACTACCACGTTGATTACGATTTTGTATCAGAACCAAGCATCCATGAACAAAAAATAACTGTTTGAGTTCTAAAAAAAAAAGAAAAAAACATGTGTTATCATCCGACTCGGCAAGACGCTGTTAAGAGGTTTTAAGCATCCTGTTAAACGCGATTAACAGTTCAACCGACATGGATCATAACCGCACCGATCTACACCAAAGAACCAGTCTGAACCACCAAAGACCGAAGTGACCGACGATTACCGAGGTCAACACCCACCGAGGACAACATGAACCGAGGTCGTCACCTCCTTAAGCAGGTGACAAGGCATCTACGAGAGGCTCTCCTACTCCACAAGATCTGTCATCATTTACGTGGGACCCTCTGCCTCGAACCGCCCATAAAAAGCTACTTTATTCCAAAAAGTAGTACACGGATCCCAATATCTCAGCCCAAAACTACTATAAATAGCGGACCTGTGACAATTGTAAAGCTCGGTCGATTTTGAGATACATTACCGAACTGTAAACCCTTTATTACGTAACACGAAAAAGCCCATCACGGCTCTTCACCTCGGTTCACCTCGGACCGGGGCCATTGTTGATTCACTCTTACATGCTTTACGTTCAAATCACTCCAAATTACTCACTTAATCATAGATTATATCGTTGTTAACAATCACATAACAACAACATGTAGACACCAGAAAGAAGAAAATGAATATTGCGAACAAGGATAAAAGCAAGATGCTTGAACCTTCAAATTATCGACAAGTGTGTGCGTTGATGAAGACGAAGAAGACCAATCAGTTGGCGTTGAGGCAGACATCTCAACTGATAAAGGCGATGTCATGTAAAGTAGACATATGTCGTTTATTTTATGTATAACTACATTGTTTTAGATTTTTCAGTCATTTAAAATTGTGTATTAACTATACGGTTGTTTATATGTTGTTTATCTTTTGTATAACTATACGGTTAATAATTTTTCAGTGTTGTTTATCTTTTGTATAACTATACGGTTAATGTTAGAGAACTATCAAATTATATTTATTTGATGTATATATACAGTATATCTGAACATGAGATTTCTTGAAGAACGATTTGTTCTTTTCCAACCCCAATCGAAGCTTTATTTTTTTTTTTAGTACGATGAACGATTTTTTTTTGGAATTCAAGATGTGGAAGAAAAGACAATTCTGTTTGAATTTATGAATTCGAGTAATTCTAAATATCATATTTGTTAATTTTTTTTTTCTTTCAAATTTCATTTTCTTTGCGGCATTCTGGAAAATTGATTGCTCTCATGATTTATGGAGAGTGAAAGAGAAAGGTGAGAAAATTGATTGCGTGCTCCATTTATGGAGAGAGAAACCAATCATTAAGTGAGAGAAAATTAATTTCATAGATGTGAAAAAAACATCACATACAAATTCCTTTTTGATTAAACCTTTTTTCCTACGTAGATGTGTAAATATATCTTACATGAACCCTACATATGTAAATTTCCCAATAATATTGGGCCTGCCGGACCACAAACTTGTTTTTTATATGATGAGGACTCGAGCCAAATAACATCACTGAGGGCTTGTCTTGCTGGGCCCGGGCTGACCCAACAGGTCCCGAACAGTCCTTGTTTGGTCTCGGACAACACCCAGTTGAACACGAGCCACATTCGGTTTGTCCCAAACACGTCCCGATATCTCCGCTTCAAGCTGAAACGAAACGATATTACCCAAAAACTAAACAAAATTCAGCAATCAAACACAAGAATGCCACAAGAACGAGTGGAATATGACCAGGCTCGGCCCCTTCCGTCAATCCCTTAAAAATGAATGACCAAAAAATCGATCAATGGACTCGTGGCCTCAATAACTCCGACACTGCAAGCCCAGTGGTAATACAACAAGTCGTCACACAAAACTCGGCCTGAAAACAGCCCGTACGCGAAACCCCTGAACACCTCTCGTAAATGATCGGCTGAATACACGAGGAAGACCCTTACCAAACTCATTATTCCCTTACCACAAAGATTTGGAAGGATAGATAAAGATTGGGTCAAATTTGACACAAAGTCGAAAATGGACCGAGAGCGAGAGTGCAAGAGAGAACAGAGAGTTCGAGTTGAATATCCTAATGGTTGCGTAGGAGAGATCAGAACCTTAGGTATGTACTAGGTATTTTACCGAGGTCAACAAATGACCGAGATCAAGTCACTTGAACACGAACGGTCAAGATTAGATTAAATTAAAATCAGCTGAAAACTGGACTTAGAACAAAGAATATTGTGCTTGAGAATTATTAAATATTTGAGCCATCAATAAACATATTATTTGGGCCACAAACATCAACAATCCCCACCTTGGCCCAAAGTTAGTTTACAAGACTCGAGTTGACAGGGGTCATCATCGCTTTAACTTATGGTACATGCACTTAAACACAAAGTTAGAACAAACATGTTACCTCACAAAGAGTTCATATAGCGCGTATCAATCACACGTATCGTAAATCAGAATTTTCACGCAACACGTCATCCACTTAGAATTCACTAAGAACCACTTTCTTAGATTACAAACATAAGACCACGTATTATTCACATGCAAGACTTTTATTTTATTTTTCACAAATTCATGCATTGCAAAGAATTATCATGTTTGAAGCATACAAAGTTCTATCTCTAGCCAAATAATAGTCATGCAAAACACAAAGATTAGATTCATACAAATTTTCACCAATTTCCTCATGCACCACAACATCATTAACATGATTAACAATCACATTTATAGATAGATTATAAGAAATAGAGTTCTCATCGGGCCTTGGTCTTCTAAAGTTGAAAAAAAAATATTCTTGATGTATATATTTTTGTTGGACCACAACACCACAAAAATTATTCTTGATGTTCTCATGCACCACAACACCACAAAAATTATTTTTTCCAACATTTTATTGATGTATATATTTTTGTTGGAATATGCGATTTTCGATTTAAATTTTTTCACCAATAATTTCTATAGTTGAAAAAAAAATATTCTTGAAATCGTCAAAATTAAACGAAAAATTCAATTGAAAACTAATATCAATTAAATATTTTCTCTAGATCACATGTCAGTATTTCCAACACAAAGTAAAGCAATTGATCCCTTTCAGTTGACATTGATTATTTAAATTTAATTATATTATTTACAACTACTATTCGATTCCATACACATGCACAAAATGTAAATAAAATTTTATGTTTTATAAATTGGTGTATGTAATATTTAAAATCATAAGTTAGTTAATGAGCATGTATATTACATCTTATAAATTTTATCATCAGTAAAAATCAACGATACAAATATAAACTATTTAACTTAAATATTAGTATTTATATTGATATGATAATGTAATTTTGCATTCTTAGTTGATTATGATCAATTAATTAGATAAATAGTATTAAAACTATCATTGTTACAATTGTGTATGTAATTTTAAGAGGGTTGATAACGCCATAAAAAATAATTAACTATTTTTTTTTAAAAAAATATTATAACCTACTTAATGAGCTGAATAAAAAGAATAACTAGTTTTGAATAAATATTTTGGAAGGCAAAATTGCATTTACTGCCCTGTAACTTCGGGCCTGTTGCAAAACTGGACAGCTTCTTTTGGGTTTGGCATAAATGCCCTGAAACTTGTTAAAATGTGG